TATTCAGGTCAGGTGACAAGGCTACTTTCACTTTGAAAAGATGTGCTAGCTGAGAGGAGTTTCGTCAAAGCTGACTAAAAGTGATCGACGATCATTTCGACGAACTTGATGAATCTGTGATAGCTTTTATTTTCCTTTTTCGCCCTGAAGAAGATGACACATTTTCACGGAACCTTGCAAAAGCAGCGCGTTACAATGGTGAGGGAAAAGCTCCGTGTGTTGCGTGTAATCACATCCATACAGTTTATGATCACAACAACAACGTTTGTCAGGCTGATCAATCTGAGGAGATTGCAAAGATTAAACCAGTGTTTTTTTAAACTCTAAAACATAAAATGTGGAGTTATCTGCTTTTGCTATAAAACAAACTTTTAATATGTAAAAAAACAACATACTTTCAATAAACTTTAATTTTGTAAATTACCTGTATTTAAAGGGGTCATATGATGTGATTTCAATTTTTCCTTTCTCTTTGGAGTGTTACAAGCTCTTGGAGCATAAAGAAGATCTGTAAAGTTGCAAAGACTAAAGTCTCAAATCCAAAGAGATATTCTTTATAAAAGTTAAGAGTCAGCCACGCCTACCTAAAACGGCTCGTTCTAACACGCCCCAACATACCTACGTCGCTCTGTGGGAAGATTTGCATAACGCCGCCCAAAGGTTCATTACTTTAAACCGCATAAACACATTTCATTACACCAAATACACAAAATAATGTTCTTTTTTAGCAACATCATATGACCCCTTTAAGTTATTATTACTTAATCAAAACAACCCAACTGCAGTTTGATTGTTATTACTTGGAATGCGCAATAAATAAAAAAAAACATGATTTCTGAAAAAAAAAAGTTATCGGTTTTTGCAAATGAACTCTTCATTGCATTGCCACAATGAAAATACCTGACCACCAAATGCACCAAATTCCAAAAAAGTGTTGTTACTCCTCTTTTTAATAGTGATCTTCATTTATAATCAGTAAATGTTCTATCACATATCCATATCTATTTAGCATTCCATAAATCCTAATTTATTTCACGATTTATTTAAACATTCATTTATTTTATTTTTTTAATGTTCAAGATGCTTTTCTCTCATTTTTAAAGGTCAGCTGATGTTTAAAAATGCAACTAAACTATCATTAAAACAACTAGGCAGCAGCTGATCTGTTTCTGAAGCAGAAAAGTAAAGGAAGTAGAAAATTAGTTATTTTAGCAAGTTAGTTTCAATAAAATGTTTTTGGACTAACAAAGTTTTGAGTTTTAAAAATAACATTATAAAACGGAGAGTTCCGGTCCTTGATTCTGATTGGCTGAGCCGCGTTCGAAGCTGTTGTAAATTACTCTACAAACACACACCTTTGTTTACATTTGCGTGTTGCTTAGCAACCACTCTGTGGTTACATTGTTTGGTGGAAGAATACTGTTTTTATTAATATCATTACACTTTATTTGCTGTTTTATTTTGTGAAACCGTACTGCGTATATGGAATTACCGTTTTATCAAAGCAATAAGCCCCAAGAAGCCGTGGGTTACAGTGAATTTATAACAGCTAAGGGGGTTTTAAGCACTCCGCTTCGCGTCGTAACAACGCCCCTTATCTGTTATAAATTCACAGTAAACCACGGCTTCTTGGGACTTATTGCTTTAATATATTTTTATAGTATAACGACTTCATATGTGTCAAAAGATCAAGTGAAATAAGATTTCTCAATGCATGAATCAGATGATTCAACTAAGTAAAAAACAAAAGTAAGCAGATGCATCTTGCTACTTGATTTTAAAGAAAGGTTCACCTGAGATTTGACCACAACGCCCCTTACTTGGCAAAAAATAGACAAAACAGCGATGTGGTTTCTTTAAAGTTGAACTCTGCGGAGTTTATTTTTTTTCCATGTCACTCCACTGTGTGGGAAAAAAGGGAAAAGCTGATGTCATGAGTAATTGTGCAGTGATTGCCATGGTAACAGCAAGAGGCAGAAAGAGATGTGGGGGGTGTTCACGATCCTCAGCTCTTCAACAACAGGGCTCTAACACACACTCGTAATGCGCTGCAGAACCAATACTTTGTATTTTCATGACTTCCGTCATTCAAACATCCCTGTATGTAATATACAAGAGGAACAGTGTTTCTCTTTCGGTGTCTGTGTTACAGAAATTGAGACAAAGCAACCATGTAGTGATGCTTGTTGCAGCCAGTTGCAGTAAAAAAAACTTAAATAAAAAGCATTTTATAAAATGATTCAAATGTAAGGGATGTTTTTGCATTTTATATTAGAGGTTTTTGTCATAACCAGCCACGACTACAACAAAGGACATCGCATTTTATTAATTGCTTGTTACTATTTTTACAACGTTGCACCCTGGCAGCCCCCGCGCGTACACATTTATTCAACCCAAGTGAAGCACGATGGTAGTCATGAATATATAAGGTACGTGTCGCTCTCTTCAGCTGCACCGCACTGCAAGTGTGCAAACAGAGAAAGCACTGTGATTGAGTGTGAACGAGGGGTGTAGCTCAACACAATCAATCCCAAAACACAGCCAACGAGGACAGAATAACTGCTCGTCACGCACTAGGTTTGAACATGTTACAGCATCTAAACATGAAATATCATACACGTCTCTTACGTTTTTCTCATTTATAGTGGTGTAGGAAATGGCGTGAATTGGGGAATGTGGATGTGTGCGATGAAAGCCATGCTTAGCCCTCTCCTGCGACAGGCTTGTGAAAGCACCCCCATCCAGTCTGCTCCCACTCTTTTGTGCTGCTTTAGACGACTCCTCTTACATAACAAGGATCCAGCTCTCACCAGTTCTGCTGCATGGCTGGCACTGAGGCTTCATCATGCGAGCCTGTGCTTTATAGCTAAAACCAAAATTGGCCTGACATATCAACTCCAAAATAAATTCTTACGTGGTTTGAATAGCTTATTTGTAATTATGAAGAATTATATGGGCAACTTGGTGTGGTGTGAAAATTTTCACTTAAATTGTCTTTGATCAAGAATGATTCTGGTGATTGTTTAAAGTCACTGCATAATCATGATCCAACAAAGTAGCATGAGCAGTTTTTTTTTTAATTTGAATCAGATTGTATAATTTTAAGATTTAAAGCAAAACAAGAACGACCTGATTTCAGCTTTGTCAAATAATGCTAAAAATGCAAATTCACTCTGATAGCAATATAGTGTTTCCTTGGTTATCACAAAGCAGGTCTACACCAGTGTTAATTTTGACAGCAAATTTTGATTTAGTTTTTAGTAATAGTTTTTTTTACTAAAATGCCATTTAGTTTTAGTCATATTTTAGTCATCTGAATTGTTTTTCGTTTTAGTCGACTAAATATCATAAGATTTCAGTCGACTAAATCTACAGTAAATTTAGTCGCCTAAAATCTAATGGGTTTAATTAATTTGTAATGCATTTATTAAGCATTTCTCTAAAATTTCCAAACTCATTATATAG